CTCCCCACTGAGCGACCAGAGGCAACCACCTCTTCAAACTGCTGACCCAGGAGGGCTGCAGAGAGGACAGAAATGGCAGCCGACAGGGTGCCGAGGCTCGGATCCCTCCCGGGCCTGGACTCTAAAACTATTCCCATTCAAATAAAACATGCGGAGGGCTTCCGAGCTCTAGGCTGCCCTGTGTCCATGATACCCTTTACAAACCTCCTGTTGCCCTTGTTCCCTCAGTTACAAATGCTGTCAGCATTCAGTTGTGAGAATTCATGTATAGCTTTAAATACTCGAAGAGCAGGATGAGCAGGCTTCTATCAGATTGAGAATTCCCCAAACTCGAGAGCTGTACTCTCCCCTCAGACTGAGGACTGCCTGGGCACAGGGACCAGCTCTCCCTCAAACCAGGGCTGTTGCCCTGGCTGGTTTGGCTCAGCGGTTGGAGCGTCGGCCTGCGGTCCAGAGAGACCCGGGTTCGGTTCCCGTGAAGGGCATGTACCTCGGTTGCAGTTTGTCCCCGGCCTTGGTCGGTCGTGCGGGTGGCGGCCACTCGATGTGTCCCTTTCACGTCGATGTTTCTCTCTCTCTGTGTTCCTCTCTCTCCCTCCCACTCTATCTGAACAAAAAATGGAAAAATGTCCTCGGATGAGGATAAAAAAAATAAAATAAAATAAAAACCAGGGCTGTTAGTCAATGGGTCTCGAGAATCCCCGTGAATTCCACCGGGATTTACAGAGCGCCCAGTAATGCCTCGCCCCACCCCGGGGACCATGACACATTTGCTTCACAGGCTGTCCCCTCCAAGATACATGTCCAGGCAGGAATCATGTCCTGATCTGTCAGGCTGCAGATTTCAGACATGCCAGCAAGCACACAGTCAGGGTCAAAAGTCTAAAGGCTATAAATCTCTAAAGTCTAGCATGCCAAGTCTCACAAAACTCCAAACACCTAAGTGGAGTAATAAAGGTCCATCATTTCCTCACTGACATGCTAAAATGAGAACATCAGTTGCTATCCCCCTGGGACTACTTCTGGCCGAGAGGGATAAACTAGGGAACCAGGTGAACCTGGTCACCTCGGGCAGGGTTAACGCAGGTGGAGCCACAGGGTCTGGCACCGCTCCCAGCATGATGCTGCCGCAGCCTCTTCCACAGGTTAACAAGCAGAAGTACTGGTTGGAAGGTTTCCTCCGGAAGCGCTGTCCAGGGTGGCAGAGGCAGACCGGGAGTTACCCCCGACCCCAAATCTACCAAGGAGATCCCTGCACAGCTTTGAAAGGCTTCAGCCTCTTCCTTAATGTTTAGCATAGTGCCCAGAACACTGATGCTGGCTATGAAAAAAATCACTAGGATCTTCAATCGGATAGAGAAAAGACATCATAGCTTTCTTCGAACATAAACCCTCCAAACTAGTATGGGCAATTTGAAGGTTAGTAGCTCTTGGAGGTCACCTGCACTTGAGGTGCCCAAACTTTGCAATTTCATAGAGAAGTAACATCACCCTCCAATATATATATAATTTTCTGTCCCCGTCATTTTTAAAAGAAATAATATTTTAACAATAAAAAAAAAAAGGTAGGAAGGCCATAATTTCAGAATGAATGTTTCTCCTTCTCAAGAATGCACTGCTGACTATCCTTTTACTTACACTTTCCTGAGAATTAAAGAACACAGAGGGGGCCAATGTGGGCCCACAGATCAGTGCTAGGACCATGGCCCACATGGGCTCCCCTTCTCCAGTACAGCCCAACTAAAAACACTGTTCTCTTTTGTTCCCATGGCAATCATCTAGTTGGCAGCTCCAAAATCTCCTTGTGCTTCAGCTGCAAACTGAGAAATCTGCCTTCACCAATGGAACTCACCATCTCCCTCCTGGCTATTGTCTAAGGAGGCAAGTACCTGTGTTCACCTGGGTTCATGCTGTCCAAACTAAAACTAGTGCCACAAGTTTCTAAAGGTCACAGCCTAATCAGGATCATTTGGCTCATTAAAACTCCACCATAATTAACCGTCAATTTATTATTGGAGCTATCATTACAACAATTAGCTGGACGGAACAAAGTTCAATTGTGAGATCTTAAACAATAGCAACTGAGTTCCAGTGATGAAAGAAGGCGGAACATGCTGTTCTTCATACACAGAGGGGATGTGACTGGCCCAGGGTCAATGGAAAATTTTTATTTTCCTGGAGAACAGCTTACCTCAAGGCATCCATGGACTCCCTCCTGACCTTGGTATCCAAGGGTAGTCCAAGTTAGAGGTAAGAATGTGCTGTTATGGGAGAAAACAATAAAAAGAACAACATCACCTTCTATACTTAACATACAACTATTTCCCCTTGATAGGCCTATGAAACAGGTCTTACTATTCCTATTTGACAGAAAGGTAACAGCTTGTTCATTCAACAGTCAACAAATACTTACTCAGAGTCTCCTGTGAACAGGCACTAGGTAAGCTGCTATGACTTTGCCCAAGGTGACACAGCTGGCAAGCAGCAAAGGTAGCACCCAAACCTAGACTCCTAACCTCAAGTTTGTTCCATTCCATGGCTGCCTCTTAGGCTGAGGTCATTGTTGCCACACAAGACCACAGGACACCAAAGCCAAAGGGCTGTCATAGCAAGGGCCACATGGTTGATCTCTAGCTTGCTCCCCTGCAAGGAAAGTCAGTATCAATGATCAATTTTCAAAGACACCTGCTGCCTGGTTGGTGTAGCTCAGTGGTTGAGCATCGACCCATGCACCAAGAGGTTGCAGATTCATTTCCCATTCAGGGCACATGCCCAGGTTGTGGGCCAAATCCCCAGTGGGGGGCATGCAGGAGGCGGCCAATCGATGTTTTCTCTCATCGATGTTTCTATCTCTCTCTCTCCATCTCCCTTCTTCTCTCTTTAAAATCAATAAAGAAAAAACATTTTTAAAAAAAAACACCTGCTGTCTGCAGGAACAAATCAAAGTAGCCACCGGTGTCCCATTAGTTACATCAGTATCCATGGTGTCCCAGAACTGGGTGCCAGTTCACTCTCTCAAGCTAGTGGGCAACACAGAAACATCCCAGCAAAGCACAGGAGACCCTGGGGGAGAAGCTTTTGTCAAAAGAGGGGAAAGTTCTCTTTAAAGTTACAAGAATTTCCCCAAAGAACTTATATGCATGTATGCATAATCAATGGACACAGACAACAATGCTGGGGGGTGGGGGTGGAGGGTGGGATGGACAGGAGGGTGTCTAGAGGGAAGAAAGGAGTAACATCTGTAGCAAAAATAAATTAATAAAAATTGAAAATAAATAAATAAATAAAGTTACAAGGGTTTTCTAACAGTGGGATCAGAAATAAAACGGTGGAATTTGAAAGGTCCTTGGACCGAAGACTGAAATATCTAGTGTGACTCTCTTAGACCATCTCAAGAGTCGGGGACATATTCCTCAAGCATGGCCCTCTGGCTGTGGCATGCACCCCATGCCAGAGATTTTGAAAACAATGTCAGCCATCCACTCTGGCAGGCCGTCCCCCTGCCCAGCCTGCCACACAGTTGCATCAGAAAAGGGGACAGTCACACACTAGGCTGCCAATCTCAAGAATGCCAAAATCTTCATAACACTTGCAATCACAAGGAGGTGGAGCAACAACATGGGTCACGAAACAGGCCAAACACCAGAGGCTAGCCCAGATCAATAGATGAGTCACAGCTAGAGTATAAAATTCAGAAGCTTCACACAGCCAGCATCTTCCTCTCCTCACTCACCCTCCTTCGGGTAAGTGTGGGTTCTACTGGCCTTGGTCTTTTCAGCTGGTCTGGTCCAGGCCCGCATAGGTAGGTGGAGCAGGGGATGGATAGGCAAGGTCTTTCTCTGCTTTGAGAGCTACTGGACCTCTGCCTTCCAAACTACATTCGTGTTTAGAATGGATTCAGGCAGGAAAGAAAGGGTGCAGAGCTGCTGCTGTGGAGATGGTGTTTCTGGTCTTCTAGTCCAGAATGTAAACTTCACAAAAGGAGACTATCTCCTATCTCTCTGGCACCTCTGTAGGGGCAGGCCTGGTACTGGGCACAGGGAGACACTCTACAGAAACTGTCCCAGAAGGCCTGTAATGGGCTGGAAGGACCTCATGAACTTGGCAGGGGAGGCTGAGCCTACTCTCATAGAGTAGTAGGGAGAATAAGTCAGAGAATACTGCAGGTGGGGAGGTTTTAGGAACCACGAGACTGCCCATTTTACAGAGGGAGATGTTCTGAGAGGGAAATGACTTGTGAGATACTGAGACACAACTTCCTACTAGACCGGTCTCCTTGACCAAGGTTGGACTTAACAAGTGGTAAAGGTGATGGCTGAGGTCATCTGGTGAGAGATGGTGGTCCAAAGGACCAATGGAGTCCAGACAGGACCATGGGGGAGCCTCCTTTTCTGATAACTGTCTCCAGATCATGGCCAAGCTCAGTGGGATAGCCCAAGAACTTGAACTAAGAGTTTTTGTGGAGAATATGGTACAACAGCCCTCTGACGTTCTGACAAACCCTCTGTGGTGCAGGGAATGGGTAAACCCCCCACAGCAGGTGAAGATTTGTGGTAATAATCTACTTGCACTCATTGAACCAGTGTTGGGATTGGAAGAGACCTGAGAAATGAAGTGCTCGAAACTCTGGTTTTACAGGAAGTAAGGAAACAGGCAAGAGTGTGGGTCCTTTGGTCCAAAATCACACAAGAGCCTAGAAGCAGAGCTGGGAGAGGGAGAGGGAGAGAGAGACAAATGGGCACCACTAACTGGGCTATATAGATAGAGCTTAGTAAAGACCTTCTGAGAGTGGACCCAACTTTTTTCTAAAAGCGCCAATCCTAGGAATCCCAGCTGAGCTCTGCTGGATCTGAACGGGGAGAGGAAGGAGCCTAGCCAAGCACGCTGCTGGGGATGATGGGTTGCCATGGCTGCAGCTGCCTCCTCCCTTGCATCCTCTATCTACTGGTCCAGTGATGCCGTCTGCTCTCCTTCCAGGGTTTCCTTCCACCTCGAATAAGATGTCTCAGAAAAAGCAGCCTACACCTATGCCCCCAGTGATCTGCGGCGGCGGCGGCTCCGGCGGCGGCGGTGGTGGCTCCAGCTGCGGCGGCGGCGGCGGCGGCTCCGGCTGCGGCGGCGGCGGCGGCGGCGGCTCCGGAGGCTGCGGTGGCGGCAGCTATGGTGGCGGCTCCGGAGGGGGCGTCAAGTACTTCGGGGGCGGCGGCGGCGGCTCCGGCGGCGGAGGCTCTGTCTGCTACTCTAGCGGAGGCGGCGGTGGCTCCGGCGGCTGCGGCGGCGGCTCCGGCGGCGGCGGCTCCGGCGGCTGCGGCGGCGGCGGTGGCTCCGGAGGCGGCGTCAAGTATTCCGGGGGTGGCGGCGGCTCCGGCGGCGGCGGCTGCGGTGGCGGCTACTCCGGGGGCGGCGGCGGCGGCTCCGGCTGCGGTGGCGGCTACTCCGGGGGCGGCGGCGGCTCCAGCTGCGGCGGCGGAGGAGGTTCCGGTGGAATCGTCAAGACCATTGGCGGCGGCGGAGGCTCCAGCTGCGGCGGCGGAGGCTGGTCCAGCGGCGGTGGCAGCTCTGGCTGCGGTGGGGGCTCGTCCGGTGGCGGCGGAGGCTGCGGCGGAGGCTCGTCCGGTGGCGGCGGTGGCGGCGGCGGCTGCGGCGGCGGCGGCGGCGGCTCCAGCCAGCAGGTCACGTGCCAGAGCTACGGAGGCATGTCTAGCGGCGGCTCCTGCGGCGGCGGCTCCGGCGGCGGCTCCTCTGGCGGCGGCGGCTGCGGGGGCGGCGGTTACTCCGGCGGCGGCGGCTGCGGGGGCGGCGGTTACTCCGGCGGCGGCGGCGGCGGCGGCAGCTGCGGCGGGGGCTCCTCTGGCGGCGGCGGCGGCGGCTACTGCTACTCACAGCAGGCCACCCAGACCTCGTGCGCGCCCAGCTACGGAGGGGGGTCGTCTGGCGGCGGCGGCGGCTGCGGCGGCGACTCCTCCGGCGGCGGCGGCGGCGGCGGCGGCGGCGGCGGCGGCAGCGGCGGCGGCGGCGGCGGCTCCTCCGGGGGCGGCGGCGGCGGCTGCGGCGGCGGCGGCTCCTCTGGGGGCGGTGGCTCTGGGGGTGGCTCCGGGGGTGGCAAAGGCGTCCCGATCTGCCACCAGACCCAGCAGAAGCAGGCGCCCAGCTGGCCATGCAAATAAGGCCCCCTGGACGCCACGGAGGCAAAGGAGCTGGAGGTGTTCTTCGTGCACGCCAATGGGCTTAGTGGTCTCATGATATTACCATGAGGTTTCCAACTACTTCACGTTTCATCCACCTGGAAGAAGCTATTGAACACGCATCATGTATCTTGTTCTGCAGTTTTGACTCTGGTTTCTGCACAACTACCTCCCAAATCCTATGTCTCCTTAACCAATAAATATGCAAATCATGAGAATTTCTGGGTGTTCACGACTCTTTATAGCTTCCAAATCCATTCATTCCATTCCTCTCCTCTCTTTTCTTCCATTCACTCACCCACTGGTACATTCATTCACTAGATATATTTATTCTGTTGGGAAAACAGTGGGTGGGTAGATGGGAGTTACCAGGGGTGGGAAGAATGGTTGGCAACCAAAGATATGAACTCTGATATTTGGGCTTAACATTGTGAAGTGCTCCCAAAACAAAGATCTTGGGAAAAGATTTCAATAAACAGCCCTGGTGCACTTAGTAGTTAGTCACCATGGGTCTTCTCATAGATCTCAATGATTTTTAAAGACAAGACTGCCCTGGGCAGTCTCTCTCTCTCTCTCTCTCTCTCTCTCTCTCTCTCTCTCTCTCTGTCTCTCATAGTTCAGATTCTACTCTGCAAGGTCTGAAAGTCAGGTGTCTGTACCTTAGGGACATCAAGCTTATGCTACCCAGGCTGACAGGAGAAGGAATAATCTTGTCAGATATTTATGACCTCTATAGTGTGTAACACTTTTACTAGGCACTTGTAAAGACAAGACTACCTGGTAGAGGAGCTGGTTCCCATTCTCTTGAAGGAACCACCCAACTTAGGAAAATACAACATAAATGTATGAGGTGTTAAACACCAGTACCAGAGAGATAATGGGGAAACACAGGAAGCTTTCTACCTAACAAGAAGATACAGTTACTCTGTTAATTAATTGCATGATATAGAACATCAAAAGAGATTTAGAACATCAACCAGGTCAGGAACTTTCTAGGCTCTATTTCATATCCTGATTCTACCTGTCCTAAGTAAATGTCCATGTATTGATTTACTCAACACCAAACACCTGTTACATCAATAAACCAAGGCATTCTTCCTACCCGATCACTGCTTGAGACAGAAAGACAAATTATCCCTCCCCAGCTCTTTTATTTACAGTCACCACCACCTTAATAATTTTACAACAGTAAAGCATGGAGATCAAAACAGGTATGAGCTTTAAAGATCCAACAGTCCAACCAACTGCATAATTTGTGTGTGTGTGTGTGTGTGTGTGTGTGTGTGTGTGTGTTTAAACGAAAGGAGGACTTTTAGTTCTGTACCAGATGCAGTAGATGTACTTCTCCCTATTAATCCTGATAACTATGACTAAACTATATGGACATAATTATAAAACAAACATGAGAAGTGTCAGAAAGGTGGAAAGAAGAAGGCAGCATAGGCAGAGTCTTCAGAACTTGAGGACTGACACAATGGTAAGTTCCCTAGGTTTTCTTTTTGCTTCTATATAACCCACATTTGGCACTAGCAAGTCTGCAACCAAGAAATGCCAACAGGAGCAGACAAAAAATAGCCTCAAAAAAATCTGCTTTCTTTATCCAAGGATCAGGAAAGAGGAGACCTAACAGTCATCTTTTGACAATATCCATCCTACCGTAGCCAAACATCTTAGAACAAAATGAATGGGAATATTAGACTCACACCTGTTCCCAGTAGTAGGGAGATAGTACTCACACACATACCTCATGGATATGGTAGTATCAGAGCCCTGCTAGAGTTGAAGATTTAAATAAGATACAGTCTCCCAACACAATACCAAAAATGTCCATCACACAATCAAAAATCACTCATAATATCAAGAACCAGGAAAATTTCAACTTGAATGAGAAGACACAATCAATATATACTAACAATGAAATGATACAAATGTGGGGTTATCTGAGTGATTTTTTAATCAGAGTGATTGTTAGGACATAAACATGTTTTAACAGGAAATTATAAGCACACTTGAAACAAATAAAAATAAATAAAAAGTCTTGGCAAAGAAATGGAAGATACAAAGAAGAATCAAATGTTAATGTTAGAACAAAAAATACAATAGCCAATTACAGAATTGAGTTTTAGAATTAAAAAATATAAAACTCACTAAACAGGCTCACCAGCAGAATGGAGATGACAAAGAATCATTGAACTGAAAGATAGATCAAAAGAAATTATCCAATCTGAAAACAGAGAAAAAATGTCTCATACAAAACAAAAATAAGAAAATTTATTTCCAGCAGAACTCTCTTAAAAGAATAGCTAGTGGAAGTTCTTCAGACAAAAAGGAAATTATAAAAGAAGGCACCAGGAATAAAGAACAATATAAAGTATCAAATTATGGGTGAATATAGGATAGTATCTTTCTTCTCTCAAGTTTTTTAAAATTATATTTGACAGTTGAAGCAACAACCATAACATTGATGTCGTTCTCAATGTATGTGGAGGAAATATCTGAGACAATTATTATATAAATGAGGAGAGTAAAGGATCTAACTGGAGGTGGGGTCTACATTTCACTCAAACAGGTAAAATTTTAATGTCTTTATATTTCCCTCCAATAACTGCTTTGTAGATAAACTGCTCTCTTAGAAAGCATTTGGAGTTTTTCTTTATCCTGGGAGTTCTAACATTTTACATGGATTTGTCTAGGTATTGATATTTTTATTATTTATTTATTTATTTAATCCCCACTCGAGGACATTTTTCCATTTTTTGTTCAGATAGAGTGGGAGGAGGAGGGAGAGGGAGAGAGAGAGAAACATCGACGTGAAAGAGACACATCGAGTGGTTGCCACCCGCACAACCCAACCAGGGCCAGGGACCAACTGCAACCGAGGTGCGTGCCCTTAGTGGGAACTGAACCCGGGTCTCTCTAGACCGCAGGCCAACGCTCTAATCGCTGAGCCAAAGCAGCCAGGGCTGGTATTTTTATCATTATAATTAATGTCTGATGGGTCCATTCAAACTGAAAATTCATATTTTTATTCAGCTCTATAAAATTTTGTTCTATTAGATCCTTGTTTAGTTTTCCCACCATCCACTGCTTCTAGACGTTCTATTAAGCAGATGTTAAACTTTCTCTTTTTTAAATTTTATTTTTAATTTTATTTTTGTTACAGATGTTTCTCCTTTTTTACCCCATTGACACCCTCCATCCCATCCCCACCACCCTGGTCCCGACTTTGTTTTCCATGTCATTGGTCATGCGTACATGCATATAAGTTCTGTGGTTTATCTCTTCCCACCCCCCACCACCCTCTCTTCTGAGGGTTGTCAGTCTGTACCCTACTTCCATGTCTCTGGGTCTACTCTATTTCTCAGACTGTCATGTTCATTATATCCCACAAATAAGTGAAATCATGTGGTATTTGTCTTTTTCTGCTTGGGTTGTTTCACTTAGGATAATACTTTCCAGGTCCCTCCATGTCGTCTCAAAGGATAAGAGATCTTTCTTTCTTACAGCTGCATAGTATTCCATTGTGTATATGTACCACAACTTTTTTATTAAACTTTCTTGATCTTTCCTCTGTATCTTCAAATCTATTCATTTTTAGCTGAAATTTTCAGTTGGGGGTGTATTGTAAAGTATACTTACAAGAGAATTTAATAAAAATGTGTTACAGTTTAATGAATAATGGGAAAATGTTGGCCTACCCTTTTCTGGGAGGCCGAGGCCCCCTTGCCCTGCACCCCTGTTCCTTATCCACATGGGGACTCTGCCTCCTCCAGCCTCCAATCTCTCCCAACCCACAGGCTTTCCTACTGCCTTCTGATTCCACAGAATGGTTACTTTCCCTGCCAGATGTTTTTTGCCTTCTTGGCCTCTAAGTCCTATTGAGCTTGAAGTTCCCCAACTCTGAGGTGGGGAGTTAGCCCTAGGTCCTCACATCTCAGCAGTTACTGACCATTCCACAGGTCTGAGCCCCTACGCCAAATTCAACCAGTGAGGCCGCAGAGTCACACTGGCCATCAGAGTAACATCTCTCCAGCTCTCCAACTTGAAATCCACCTCCACCATCCCCATGAAATGAGATTTCAGATTCTAAGGTTATCAAATCCACATGTCATGCCATCAACTACCATACCTTCTTTGATGTAGACTTTACTCTAAACTCTGCGCCCCTGCTTCCAAATTTCAACCCTAGTCCTTGCCATCTTGCTGCTCAGGTCCCAAATCTAGGTCTCAGCTTTCAGACCTTCCAAACGTGAGCCCAACCCCAGGTTCACACCCCAAATAAAAACTTTAGTTGAGAGGCACTTTCCCTTTCCTATTTTGATCTTCATCTTTTTAAAAAAAAAATTTTTTTTTACAGATCTTGTATCATAGAAATCTACACCTCAAATTTATCTATTTTTGTTACAGATGTTTCTCCTTTTCCCCCCACTGATACCCCCCTCCCCCACCTTCCCCTCCCTGTCCCCAGCTTTGTTGTCCATGTCCATTGTTCATGCACACATGCATATAAGTTCTGTGGTTTATCTCTCCCCCCCCACTCCCTCTTCTGGGGATTGTCAGTCTGCACTCCAGTTCCACGTCTCTGGGACTACCCCATTCCTCAGGCTGTTATGTTCATTATATTCCACAAATAAGTGAGATCATGTGATATTTGTCTTTCTCTGCTTGGCTTGTTTTGCTTAGGATAATACTCTTTAGGTCCCTCCAAGTGGTCTCAAAGGATAGGAGATCTTTCTTTCTTACAGCTGCATAGTACTCCATTGTGTATATGTACCACAGATTTTTTATCCATTCGTCTACTGATGGACATTTGGGCTGTTCCAGATCTTAGCTATTGTAAATAGTGCTGCTATGAACATGGGGGTACATATATTCTTTCTGATTGGTGTTTCAAGCTTTTTAGGGTATATTCCTAGAAGTGGGATCAATGGGTCAAATGGAAGTTCAATTTTTAAGTTTTTGAGGAAACACCATATTGTTTTCCATAGGGGCTGCACCAGTCTGCATTCCCACCAGCAGTGTACTAGAGTCCCCTTTTCTCCACGCTCTCGCCAACACTTGTTAGTTGATGATTTGTTGATGGCGGCTATTCTGAGAGTTGTGAGGTGATACCTCATTGTTGTTTTAATTTGCA